AATAGCTAAATAATGCAAGTTATTTTAAACATTGTATCTTTACTTAATCGAATCTTGCTAGTTACAGATCTTATGTTTACAGTAACATCCTTTACTTTAAATGATGGTTTAGCATTAGAAGGGTTTGTGACATGTTTATTAACCCAGCCACTACTGGTTATTCATTTTAGTTACAGGGTGGTATAATTGTTATAGTCTAATTGATATAAATGATAGTACCGCAATAGTTAATGTTTTATCCAAAGACATATAGGAACTTTACTTAACTTACTATTAACCATTATTTATAATGATAGACATGTTCAGACTGCAAAAAGCTATGGCTAATGACATACAAAAGGGGTTTGAGTCAGTAACACAGCCCATACTGAGGAGAGCAAACCCGCTGATGCTTAAAGCCCCTGCCATGGCAGTGTCTTCAGGGGAACAAGGGGGGCCTCTAGCTACTGTAATTTTACCCATTGAGGGCCAGCCCACCACTTTCCTAGTTGACACAGGTGCAGCCCGAAGTGTTCTGAGAGAACAAGACCTGCCTGATACCTAATTTCTTTCCAATATTGATGTCTCCTGTGTTGGGGTGGACGGCCTTCCAAGGCAAAGTCCCCTGTCCACCCCACTGCGGGTTGGTAACTGCCACAACTTGCTTGCTCGCTTTGTGGTATCTTCCACATGCCCCATTAACCTGTTAGGAGCTGATGTTCTTTCACGCCTGCAGGCATTCATCACCTTTACTCCAGATGGACAAGTGGAACTATCCACCCCTCTATCTGTCTCAGACACCTCAGCTTTGTGCTCCTTACCCCTGATGCTACATCTAGAAGAGCCTCATGGGGATGCAAAAGACCTAAGGACTAATTTCCCTGATTCACTAAAGACTGATGTTCCCAAGAAGCTGTGGTCCACAGGCCCAGAGGACATAGGCCATCTAAAGGTCCCGCCTGTGGTGGTAAAGCTCATCCCAGGAGCAAAATTGCCACGAAAATCACAGTATCCTTTGAAACCAGCTCAAGCTGCAGCCATTACAATTCAAATTCAAGCACTCCTGGAGAAGGGTGCTCTTGTCAAATGTGAATCACCATGCAATACTCCATTATTTCCAGTAAAGAAAAAGACTCCAAAAGGCGAACCAGAAAAGTACAGATTGGTCCAAGACCTCAGAGCGGTAAATGAAGCCACAGTTTTGGACACTCCAATAGTGCCCAACCCACACACTCTCCTTTCCAGCGTTCCACCCTCTGCCAAGTACTTCACTGTAATTGATCTAGCCAATGCCTTCTTCAGTGTTCCCCTGGATCCAACTTGCCAATATCTGTTTGCTTTCACACATGACAAACAACAGTACACATGGACTGTCATGCCCCAAGGGGCACAAAATTCACCAAGTCAATTTGCGAAGGCCATGTGCTCTATCCTTGATCCATGGCAATCTGACCATCCCGAGGTCGTCCTGCTTCAATATGTGGATGATTTGCTGCTTTGTGGAGATGATATACCCACAACAGAACAATGCTCACTTAATCTTCTTTGCTACCTAGCAGAACAAGGATGTAAAGCTTCACGTCTCAAGCTGCAATTCTGCCAACCTACTGTTATTTTCCTTGGCCATTGTCTGTCTCAGGGAACCAGACATCTTACCCGTGACCGAGTTAGAGCGGTACTGGACATTCCACCTCCAAGGATCTCAAAGTCACTACACGCCTTCCTAGGCCTCATTTCCTATTGCCGAGCATGGATCCCAGAAGCCTCGCCCCTTATGCAACCTCTTTATGATGCTCTCAAGTCAGGCCCATTATGCTTGTCCACAGAAGCCCTTGACAACTTCTGTTCTCTCAAACGTGCTATTGCTTCTGCTCCTGCTCTTGGCCTACCAGACTATACCAAACCCTTCACATTGTTTGTTTCTGAAAGACAAGGCCATGCAACAGGAGTACTCACTCAGGCCCATGGTCCTGGAGGCCGCCAAGGGCCTATTGGATTTTTCTCCTGCCAACTGGATATTGTGGCCAGAGGACGTCCCTCTTGCCTTCGGGCCGTCTTTGCTGCCAGAGAGCTCATTGAAAGAACTGGGGATGTTGTCCTTGGCCACCCCCTGGTTGTCTTGGCCCCTCATGACATTTCTGCCATAGTCAACCAGGTCCAGCTTAAGCATGTTACTCCTGCCAGGCATCTTCGCCTTCAATGTCATCTTTTGTTGCCTGACAACATTACCCTCCAAAGATGTCAAGTTCTCAATCCGTCCACTCTTCTGCCACTCCCTGAGGGGGGTGTATACTACGGATTCATCATGGACGAAACTTATGTTTTTCTTCTCACTGGCACCATCAAGAAGGAAATGCATCCCAACCTATCCTTTCATGATGGACAAGCACTCCTTCATGACGGAGCAGGATATGCCTTCTGTACCATGTGGTACAAATCAAACATCACTCCTGAACCCTGCTATGAAGATGAACTCTATAATCTGGTCGAAGTAAAACTCACTGCACAAGACTTCTACTGTGATTCTGAAGGCAACAGTATGGTCTTGATTCATCTACCTCCGGAACTCAAGCATTTGTACCGTCATTGGGACACTGCCATTCCACATGTCCCTGTGACCAAGTTGAAAACAATATCATGGAATGATCTTGGGCCTATGGCAAAAGCATGGGCCACTATGGACGAATCACAGCTACAGGAAAATGGTGTTGTCAAATATCCAACAAATGACCCTAAAAGCATGGCCACGTCATTTCCTGGAAAATAAGTTCCAAGATTTAACCATAGTGAATGAATACGACCCAGATACACCTCATGACTGTTTTGAACAGATGAAAATGGAAACAACACATCTACCAACTGTGCATGAAGACCCATTGGTAGATCCCGATCTCACCCTGTTTGTGGACGGCTCAAGATATGCTGATGAAGAAGGAAGATACCATACAGGATATGCCGTAACCACAACAGATGAAATTGTCAAATCATCATCTTTACCATCAACTATGTCTGCACAAGAAGCTGAATTGCAAGCCCTGACTTCAGCATGCAAGATCTCTGAAGGAAAGCGCGCCAATATCTACACGGATTCAAGATATGCACTGGGCGTGGCTCACGACTTCGGATTAATTTGGAAAACAAGAGGATTTCTTACCACCACCGGTACACCAATCAAGCACGGTTCCGCAATCAAGGAGCTGATGGACGCCCTCCTACTCCCAGAAGAAGTGGCTATTTTGAAGGTAAAAGCACATGGGAAGTTGGACTCAGATGAAGCAAAGGGCAACCATCTAGCTGATCAGGCTGCAAAACAAGCTGCAAAAAGAACCACAGGAAGTGGAAAGAAGAGTGTCCGGAAATGAAGAAACTCCCATATTTACTCTGCAGACTCTTCCAACTGACCTGAAAATCCTGCTGGAACAATAGGCTACAGTTGCCCCTGAAGAAATACAGAAGTGGAAACAGAAAGGGGCAGTTCTGAAGGATGGAGTGTACTCCAACAACCTCAATTTCTGCCTCCCTAAGAATTTGTACCCAGCAGTCGTACAATGGGCACACAGACCTGCACATTTATCAAAAGATCTAATGAATGCTCTTGTACAAAAATACTACCTCATTGTCCCCATACGAGATTCTATTTGGGACTGCACCTAGGCTAGGTTGCTATTTTCCCCAACAACTACAACTTCAAACTGATGTTTTAGTAGATTATGTAACTGAACTCGCAAATGCTTTGAACAAAATCCATGCCCAAGTTTTCTCTAAAATTCCAGATCCTGATTCTGACACAGGCAACCACAGTCTGCTCCCCGGTGACTGGGTTCTGGTCAAGAAATTTGTGCGAAAACACACCCTGGAACCAAGATTTGACGGACCGTTCCAAGTTCTCCTGATCTCCCCTACCTCTGTCAAATTGGCCGGAAGGCCTAACTGGATCCACGCTTCCCACTGCAAGAAGACACCTGCCCCAGAGGAAGCTAACTCTATGCAACCATGTGCCTCTGGTACATTATCTCCTTAGTTGGCCTCCTTAAAGCCCAGCAGGTGGCCATCACCAAAGATGCTAGTGGGTACACTTTCTGGTATAATTCATCATGTACCCATGTGGCTACATTCACTTTTGATTACTGTGATATTGTAGAGTGCCCATTCCCTAAGTCACAGATTCAAGCCATTTATAAAGATATACCACAAGCAAAAGACCCTTACGTTTGTGTAGTAGATGAACAATGGGGTTGTGACTGTAACTACTGGGGGGCTGCGGGATGGAATACTGGGCCTGCCTGGGGTTACAAACCCAAAAGTGCTTTATCTAAGATAGACAATCAGGGTAGATCCCTCCTTCAAAGAATGACTTTAAGAAAGCCTGGAGGAAGTACCCCTATGAAATTAATGTTAAATATTGAACATCCTGGCCCCGAGGATGCAGACCGATATGTAATGGGAATGTATTGAAGAAAGGTTCCTACAACAAATTAGGTCATTTCTACCTCAGAGATATGTACCACTCTCCAGAGTGGCAAGGGGCTGATCATATGGTCCCAAATCCGCTAAAACCACATATCCAGTCCTTTAAAGATATGATGGCCATCGCTAACCCCACTTTTGAAGATACCATGGCCGCTGAAACTGGATTCAATGACATTAATTTGTGGTTAGAATGGATGAGGTATAATGCTAACAAACATAATAAAACAGCATGTTATGTATGTGGCGGTGCCCGACCCCACCTTGGCACCGTCCCCCTAACTCTCCCTTTAGAGATAGAAGATTGCTTCTTAAGCCTTTTTGCCTACCAATATGACTTTAATAGGTCCCTCTGCATGGCATGGACGGCAGAATACCCTCTCTTAGTTGAAAATGTTAAGCCACCAGATGGAGTCACAGTCTATAGAGGTAATTACACTTGTTATGCCATGTATGACGGGATTGGTAAATTCATGGGTAACTTTTCTAAAGGTTATTGCGCCACTTACAGAACTGTTCCTATACGCCTGTTGCAACACCATACCAGGTCATTGGGGGATATTTACTGGTTATGTGGGGATCTACAGTTAAGATCTAGGCTGGAAACTGAGTGGTGGGGTGAGTGTACCCTGGCCAAAGTTATCATGCCCATTCATATTATTTCTGATAATCATCATGACACATACGACCCTCCACATACATCAGCCAGAGTAAGGCGCGAAACCCCAGTAAAAGGCAGTTTTGACCCCCACATTTACATAGATGCCATTGGGGTGCCTAGGGGGGTACCTAATGAATTTAAAGCTAGAGATGAAGTAGCTGTAGGTTTTGAATCACTTTTTACCATAGTCACTGCCAACAAAAACCTTAATTGGATTAATTCTATCTATTACAACCAACAGCGCTTCGTGAACTACACCAGGGATGCCCTCCAGGGCTTGGCCGAGCAATTACAGGCCACATCCCAAATGACCTTCCAGAACAGACTGGCCTTAGACATGATCTTAGCCGAAAAAGGGGAGTCTGTAAAATACTTCCCGACACTATGACTTGTTGCACTTACATTCCAGAAAACACAGGTCCTAATGGTAAAGTCACTCTGGCCATAGCTAAATTAAACAGACTCTCAGAAGAGTTAAAGAGACACTCTGGAGTTACTGATCCCTGGGAAAAATGGTTTGGTTGGATGACTGGTTGGCAGAGAGCTTTAGTCCAGATTGGTATTGCCTTACTAATTTTTCTTTTTTATTCTCGCTCTTCTCATTTGTTGTGTCCTCCCATGCCTAAAGAAATTCCTGCAGAAAACTGTAGACCAAGCAACACCAACCTTCACTCATCTGACAATCGATGATCAAGACCTCATCTCACCCTGTATTCCGCTACAAACTCTCCCTTATACTGATGAAGTGCAGAAAGTCTAGGAAGGGACAGTACAGGGACAGCGCCCGTCTTTATGGGTAGACTGCCGTACGGAGAAGTAGTGGATAAGCCACTATGGGTTACCAGCGGAGTGAAGAGTGTTCCTGAACCGTACTGACGGATGTGCTGCAGCCTGTTAGGGTCAAGAGAGGGATAGACTTGCACTTTGCATTAACACTAAGTCAGCGGTCATGGGTTTCTGTGTCTTTGGGTTAACACATCTTCTGATACTAACAAATAAAGTTTTGTCTTTTAGCAAATAACATTTTAGGGGGGACTGTTGTAGAATTATTAGGCCTCTATAAATCTGTAAGGCCCCTTTAAATCCTCTTGCTATACCTCTAAGAGGCCCCCATAGTTTTACAAGGAAGCTTTGTCTATAGAACATAGAATTTGCATGTCAGCAAGAAATAGCTTTGATAAAATGTGTATTTACTAAAATCCTTGAAACTTAACCTTGAGAAACTAACAAGTGCCAGCTACGCTCCAAATGGATAGTTGCCAAAAGGCCCCTCCCGTCGAGTGAGCTCCTCATTTTAACAAAATGGCGCTAAAACCTGTAGGAGTTAAGAAATTACGTAGATAGTGACCTAAGAATGGGGAGGGCATTTTACTAACATCTTAGCACCTAAGCCAATTAACAATGTCTATTTGTCTATATCTTGATTTTCTTCAATGATGTAATAATGCCTTTATAAGGGTCTGCGCACCCATTTTCTGTCAGCAGCCATTAAACTTCTCTGAAGTTCTTTCATTACCCTGAACCTTGTGTCTCAGTGTGAATTTACTTCTGCGTGCACGCAACTTTATTATCTTTAATTTGGACAGGAACAGATAGTCATTCAAACTAATTGGTTTGCAGTAAATCATCTAGAACAGCACTACGGAATCTGTTGGCGCCATGCAAATGGCAACAATAATAATAATATTACACAATTATAGCTCCATAACCTGCCTGACAACGTCTATGTATGGAACAATGTACACAATACTACACAATTAGAATATTTTCTCTCTAACTCTTATCAGTAGCTCCGAAATGCAGAAATGTAGGCAAGCGGGGAGTAGGGGTGGGAGAAAGTGTGACAGTGCAAAAAGGGGAGAGAGAGAAACTGCAGGCATGAAGATTAACCATGTGAGCTCCGTAAAGTAACAAGACAGAAGGACAGAGATTTATACGTTTGGAAACCAGAAATCTTTGCTAACTTTCTCATTTTCAGCATAGCTTCTTCCCCTGCCCTCTCTTTAACAATATCACAAGCCAAATACCCCTTAGCTGGTCTAGTATGTGCTTGCCCCTTTTTTGACCAAGCGAGGTCTGCCAAGTAAAGGAGACCAAGTGAGAGGGAAGAAGAAGTAGGAAAGTCTACAGTGCTCGACTGACTAGTCACGATGGTCTGTGCACCCGGGGGAGGTGGCCACAGACCGGAGGGGGCGAGCGTGGGTGACTAACACAGCTCTGGGCAACAAACACAGGAGAGATAAAGGACAAATGAAAAGATGAAAGTGGTTACACTAACAAGAAGACATTTGCAAAAATCACAAACATAGAGATGGGTGTAAACCCCAGAATCCAGAACTAGCCACACTATATACATACACACACACACACACCAAGGGTACCCACACTGTAACAACAATTAAACAAAAAAACACAGAATGACAGAGAGTAAAATGGCCATGTACATGTTAACACCACTAGTACCAAATATTTAAAATGTAGCAATCAAACAAAATCCCAGCCCCACCGGCTGTAATGCGTTCCCTGCCCGCTAGGCAGTCAAGCTAACATATAAAACCCAGCCCCACCGGCTGTAATGCGTTCCCTGCCCGCTAGGCAGTCAAGCTAACATATAAAACCCAGCCCCACCGGCTGTAATGCGTTCCCTGCCCGCTAGGCAGTCAAGCTAACATATAAAACCCAGCCCCACCGGCTGTAATGCGTTCCCTGCCCGCTAGGCAGTCAAGCAAACATATAAAATGCGTTCCCTGCCCGCTAGGCAGTCAAGCAAACATATAAAATGCGTTCCCTGCCCGCTAGGCAGTCAAGCAAACATATAAAATGCGTTCCCTGCCTGCTAGGCAGTCAAGCAAACATATAAAATGCGTTCCCTGCCCGCTAGGCAGTCAAGCAAACATATAAAATGCGTTCCCTGCCCGCTAGGCAGTCAAGCAAACATATAAACCGCGTTCCCTGCCCGCTAGGCAGTCAAGCAAACATATAAACCGCGTTCCCTGCCCGCTAGGCAGTCAAGCAAACATATAAACCGCGTTCCCTGCCCGCTAGGCAGTCAAGCAAACATATAAACCGCGTTCCCTGCCCGCTAGGCAGTCAAGCAAACATATAAAATGCGTTCCCTGCCCGCTAGGCAGTCAAGCAAACATATAAAATGCGTTCCCTGCCCGCTAGGCAGTCAAGCTATTGTCTTTTAAAAAGGGGGAAAACACACACTCCGGCCGTCACACACATTCAAACAAATACAGGAGGCAGATAGACAATCGACAGGTTCACTTTAAAAAGGCACCCCGGATGAGCTAAATACCTGTCTCTAGTAGCCTTCTGGAAGCCGGAAGTGGACTCGGAGACAGACCGACACAAAACAGGAGAATAACACAGGCAACGGCTGTATTATGGAGGTGATCAGGCTCCGCTTGTCCCATTTTCTGGGGGTCCGCTCTGGTCCTTGGTATCCGGCCCTCCGAACCGGCAAATCCGGGGGCCCCACGTTGGGCGCCAATTGAAATGGAAAAATCAATTAAAGTATTGATTATTTCTTTGTGTATCTGCCCCTGGCCAAATCAATGAAACAATGCGTGCACGCTCCCTGAAGTAATTCACACCAGACACAGGTTCCAGGTTGTTGAATAACTTGAGGAAAGTTTATTCAGAGGGGACGGCAGGTCCCTTTTAAAGCAAAATTACATCATAAGCATTGTCAGAGATAACATGAAATAATACATCAATAATTGGTTAAGTGTTAAGTGTCTTATTCAAAGCACGTCCTACAGGGTGTGCCTTCTTATGTCATTACTGTCGTCATGGAGTTCTCCCCCAGGATTCCAGCGCCATCTTGAAAATTAGAGTGTTTGGTCGATGGGTGGGGTACTCCTGAGTGACATCTAGTGGTCAGTTTAGTAATTTATTGAATAATATTAAGTATAACTAAATGAAGTAAATAGACATTTTACTAGCTAAAAATATGTCAATATTTCATGTCACCAGGTCCATGAGGGTCTCCCACGGTTTCCCGGCACCATCTTGCTGCACGAGGTAGTTAGTCGGTGTTTAAAGGGGCAGGGGGAGGAAGGGGTTAGAAGCTTCTAGCAGCCATTTTGATTAAACATGTGTGCTTAACTCTATAGCATAGTGTGAGATGAGTAAATAGACATTTTCCTTTAACAGTGTGTGTTTCTGTTAGCTAGTGAATGCGTATCTGTCAGTGAATGTGTGTGTGTATTTAGAAGGCGGAGCAGGGGGGAAGGTTGGGTGGCGGTTGCGCGGGTGGGGGTGGCGCGGGGGGGTGCCTGAGTTTTGTCCTGCCTAGGGCAGCACAAAACCAGGATACACCACTGGACCGGAGAGCATGCCATATCATCCTCGAAAAGGATTCAATTGGAATGGCACACAGCATGAACTGCATACTCGCTTACCAATCGCAAGTATACTGACCTAGCCTAGCGGACATCAAAAGAGAAAAAAAAAAAAACAGTACTTTTGACCTACTGTAATATTGTAATTTAAATAATTTGCTATAGGAGTTCGGCAATATACATGCGTTTTCTATGCAATGATAGGAGGTAGTGGAGTTGGCTGTGGCCTATAGGCTATTAGGTACTAAGATTGCCCATTTGTGCCCTTTATATGCACATATGTTCCCTCTCCCACAGACGGTAAAGTAACAAAGTAACTAATTCTTAACAAGCCACCGAAGGGATCTGTAGTGGTACCATGTTTCTCTTTCTTGATTTTTTTGTCTTCTCCTTGCTGGGGGACTATCTGGTACTGCATGTTGAGAACCTCTTCTGGGCTAAGTTGTCCATCTTTTCACAGCCACACTACCTTGGTTAGTTATATCTTTGAAAAAAAAAAAAAAAAGATAGGCTCATATCCCATACTGAAGGTCTATGCAGATTTAAAGTTTCATTTTAATATTTGAACTTTTTGTATATGTGTGAACCCCTCGTCTAATCAATATAGGAATGGATATCAAAGGAGGTATTAACTTGGAATGTCATCTCAATTTATCTGTATCTTAACTTGTATGTCCTACTAGAAAGTTAGAGCTCTGCTGTGTAATGGGAGTGTAAATTGTGTGTTTAACTGTAAAATAGCGCACGGTACCATAACCACTGACATTGTGTAAAAATTACTAACAATTGCTGTTTTATGTTATATGTATAATACCACAACTGTTACTAACTGATCTGTGACTTTAAAACTGTATTATAACCACTTACTAACTGTACCATAAGCACTGACTGTAAAGATGAGATTACGAGAATGTGATATAGTTGGTTAGTTAAAAGTTGATTTATAGTACGGATAATTGTAGAGACGATTTATAGTTATAGAGGTAAGTAGCTAGTGTTTGGTAGATCTTTGTGAGTGGGACGCTGTGATATCACTGTATGAACGAGAATTCTCTGCGTGTTATCGTGTGTGTATGTTTGGCTAGCAACCGTGCCACATGGTACTGTTGCCAGGGAAACGAGTGTGATTGTTGGAAGTGTTTGAAATATTGTGTATCTTTGTAATAGACGTTCCACTGCCAGTATGGGTGCGTCCGACTCAAAGATTGTTGATCCCTTGTCGTGCATGTTGAAAAACTTTACAAAGGGATATAAAGCCTGTGATTTTGGGGTAAAATTGTCCCCAAAACATTTGACTACCTTATGTAGTAGAGAGTGGCCTATCCTGGTGACCGCATGACCACCATGTGGTAGCCTTGATCTCATTTTGGTACAACGTGTGCACGCAGCTGTATCTAGTAGGCCTGAATTTTATGATCAGTTTCCGTATATTGATTGTTTGAAACAGATTGTAGAAGAATTGCCTAAATGGGTTAAGGTATGCCACGAGGAGCAATGTCGCCTCATGGTGGCCAGGACTCGCCTCTCCATCAGGGCTGCAACTCCGCCCATTTTAGATTCCCCCTCTGAAACTGACCTTCCCTCCCCACCCCCTTACACTTCCTCTAAGGTTAGAGGTGGTACTACTGGTGTTGCTACTCCCCCTTTCCCATTGTCCCTGCCCACTAATGCATCTAGTTCAGAGCCCAGCCCACTAGCTCTGAAACCTCCCCTTCCGGTACAGGCCTCCACTAGTTCCATAAATCCGGAACTGACGTCACTTCTGGTTCCTGGTCAGGCTTCTCCCAGCCTGGCCCATAATATCCTGTTGACCGAACTTCCGCCCAGTAAAATTAATCCGCCTCACTCCCCTTGCCTTACTACTCCCTGACCGGAACCTATTATTGAGCAGCCTTGCCGAAGTCCCATATTAACCCGACAGATGACTGGTGCCCTCCAACCCCGACATTACCAAATGCCCCTCTGACTTACACCAGGCCCAATACACATGGATGAGAATGGCCAAATACAACGGGCAGATCCAGTGTTTGTATATGTCCCCTTCGCTACGACTGATTTATTTAACTGGAAGACTCATAACTCTTCATATACTGACAAACCTCAAGTTATGACATATTTGGTTACTTCTATTATCCAAACACATACTCCCACCTGGGCCGATTGCCAGCAATTATTATTAACTTTATTTAATTGTGAGGAAAGGACCCGGATTAATCAAGCGGCTATTAAAGCGCTCGAGGAAACGGCCCGTACTCAAAATCAGGCCAATCCAGTTGCGTGGGCTGCAGCCCATTATCCAAATATCGATCCAAATTGGAACCTGAATGGTGCTGACATGCCCCAACTAAGGGCTTATCGGGAAGCCATAATTGCTGGCATGAAGGCAGGAGGGAAGAAGGCAATTAATATGTCAAAGACGGCTGAGGTGTTGCAAAAGGCTGATGAGTCACCTAGTACCTTTTATGAGAGATTATTGGAGTTATATAGATTGTATACTCCTTTTAATCCAGAGGCTCCTGAGAATTCTAGGATAATTAATTCAGCATTTGTCAGCCAGGCCCAAGGTGATATTAAAAGGAAATTACAGAAATTAGAGGGATTTGTAGGGATGTCCATATTACAGCTAATGGAGATTGCAAATAAAGTATATATGAATAGGGAGACGGAGGTAAAGCGGGAGGAAGAATGTAAGATGAGGAAAAAGGCAGATATGCTTGCGGTAGCTATCTCAAGTGTAGAAAGACAGGGAAGGGAAGTGAATAGAGGAGACGAGAATAGGCTGAGCAAGGGACCTTTAAGTAGGAATCAATGTGCGTATTGTAGAAAGGAGGGACATTGGAAGAGTGAGTGTCCACAGAGAGAGCAGTATGAAAGTGATAGACAAGGAAAGAGAAGGGTACGAGGAGGTTATAGTGGTAGTTATAGAGGAAGAGGAAGTTTTAGAGGGAATGGTGGGAATAGTAGAGGAAGTGTTCAAGGAGACAGATACTATCCACCCATGCAGAGACCTAGAGAAAGAGAGGATAGAGATTTTGTGGGTCTGGCTGACACTATCATGGAAGACTATTGATACCGACCGGGCTCCATCCCCCTTGGTGAAGCGGAGCCTATGGTCGATGTAGCAATAGGGGGAAAGAGAAGTTCTTTCATGATCTACACAGGTACTGAACATTCTGTGGTGACTAAGATGGTGTCTCCGCCTTCGGGGAAGACTATAACTGTCATAGGAGCTACTGGGAGAAGTGCAGCTAGACCGGTTCTTAAGAGTCGCACTTGTATTCTGGGAGACCATGTGGTGAAGCATCAGTTCCTATATATGCCAGAGTGTCTGATTCAACTTCTAGGATGAGATCTATTATCGAAGCTTCAAGCCCAGATAACCTTTTTACCTAATGGATCAACATCTCTGAAGTTTAAGGGATTACCAGGTATAATGGCGATATCGGTGCCAAGGGAAGAAGAATGGCGCTTCTATTCCATAGTGACAAGTGTTAACCCTAAGAGTGATGAATCCTTATTTGACATTCCAGGAGTATGGGCAGAGAATAATCCACCAGGACTTGCTCGTAATATCCCACCCATACATATTGAACTAAAGCTTGGGGCCTATCCTGTGAGCCTACGTCAATATCACATACCCCAAAAGGCTAAGGAAAACATACAAACCTACTTTGATAAGTTCCTAAGGTATGGCATCCTAAAATTCTGTACTTCCTCCTGGAACACTCCATTATTACCTGTTCAAAAACCAGGATCGGACGAATATCGTCCTGTACAGGATTTGAGAGCAGTTAATGATGCAGTAGTTAATATACACGCAGTTGTACCCAATCCTTACAATCTGCTTGCCTTGATACCAGGTGGGGCAACCTACTTCACAGTGTTAGATCTTAAGGATGCTTTCTTTTGTCTTCGAATTGCTGCTGAGAGTCAACATATCTTTGCTTTCCAATGGGAAGATGCTGTTACAGGTTCAACGCGTCAGATGACCTGGATCAGACTACCTCAAGGGTTCAAGAATTCACCTACCCTATTTGGATCTGCATTAAGCCAGGATTTGCAAGATTTCAAGTCCATCCCAGGAGAATGTGTACTACTTCAAGATCAAGTATGCGGCTGAAATACTCCAACTGTTA